CTACCACCTCTACAGAGGATACTTTGTTCCCTATTATTCCTGAAGTCAATATTATCGCCAACACCAATGTCAAAATACACTCTCCATTGCTCGCTGATATTCAGAACGAACAATCTCTTGCTCCCGAACGTACTCCTGTGGGCCGCTTGTTCGTGTCTCCCAAATTCCAAGTGGACATTATTCGCTGTTTCCACGATAGCAAGATCGCTGGTCACCCCGGCATCCACAAAACTTACTGCCTGATCTCAAAAGACTTCTGGTGGCCCGGTTTACGTAGGGATGTGGAAGACTTTGTCAAGGCTTGCAATGTTTGTGTCAGGAATAAACTTCCGCGGGATCTCCCTTGTGGTTTATTGCAGCTCTTAGTCATTCCCAACAAACCTTGGGCTTGCTTGGCTATGGATTTTATTGTTGATCTACCAGCTTCCAATAGGCATACAGTTATACTCACGGTCCTTGACAGGTTTACTAAAATGGCTCATTTCGTTCCCTTGCCTAAACTTCCGTCCTCCCCCGAACTGGCCGTGATATTTGCTAGAGAAATTTTCCGTTTACATGGTATTCCCAATGAGATTGTGTCAGACAGGGGTTCCCAATTTATTTCCCGTTTTTGGAGATCCTTCTGTTCACAGTTGGGCATCAAACTGAATTTTTCTTCGGCCTATCATCCTCAATCTAACGGAGCAGCCGAACGCACTAACCAAAAAATTGAGCAATATCTACGTTGTTTTGTTTCTGAACACCAGGATGACTGGGTCGGTCTGATTCCTTGGGCGGAGTTTGCTCACAACAACCTTGTTTGTGGTTCCACTCATAATAGCCCCTTTTTCTTGAACTATGGCTTTAACCCTACTGTTCTTCCGTCGGTGTCTCCTTCCCAGGGTATACCGTCGGTTGATATTCATATAGCCAACCTGAGAAAGTTGTGGGATCAGACTCGACAAATTCTTGAACGTAGTTCCGCGGTGTTTAAGTCACATGCTGATAGGCGTAGACGTCCTGCTCCTATTTTTTCTCCGGGGGATAGGGTCTGGTTGTGTACCAGACACATTCGCCTGAAAGTTCCTTCCTTGAAGTTTGCTCCTCGTTACATTGGTCCTTACAGGGTACTGAGGAGGATCAACCCGGTTTCTTATTTGCTGGATCTACCTCCTACTCTACGCATCCCTAACTCTTTTCATGTGTCTTTATTGAAACCTCTTGTTTGTAACAGATTTTCCTCCCGCTCTACTCCTCCATCCTCGGTCCGTGTGGATGGTCAGGAGGAATATATCATCAAGTCCATCCTTGATTCTCGTATTTCTAGGGGGAAGCTGCAATACCTCATAGACTGGAAAGGTTATGGTCCAGAAGAGAGGTCTTGGGTTCCTGGTATAGACGTGCATGCTCCTCGTCTTCTTCGGGCCTTCCACGTTCGTTTTCCTTCTAAGCCAGGTCCCATCCGCCCGGTGGGCGTTTCTAGAAGGGGGGGTACTGTCAGGGTACCTGTTGGTGATGTATCCAGGGAGGACATCCTCTCTGCTTAGGGGCTCCCTTCCCCTAGCATTTCGGCATATTCCGGCCGTTTTCGCGCCGGCCGCGCTAGCTCCTCCCCCTTTTATGACGCGACGGCTAGCGTCGACGTCATGACGTCGGCATTTGCATAAAGTGCCGGGAACCGCTATTCCGGACCTTTTGGGGGCGTGGTCTCTATTTAGGTAACAGGGTATTTAAAGGAAACCTTTACTACTGCTCATTGCCCTGTCGTGGTTCTAGCTTGCTAGTCACTCAGCGCGTTCTTTATCTAGTGTTTCCGGTTTTGACCCTTGCTTGCCTTTTGTCCTGTTGTCCTCTCCTCTCCTTTGACTCGGATTGTATCTCGCTTACCTGTCCTCCGGCTCCCTTGACCTCGGCTTACCTTTTGACTATTCTTGCTTTGTCCTTACGTTAGTCCGGCCATTCTAAGGTCCGGTATACGTACCTCCTTCTGTGCGCACTCTGCGTATTGGATCCCTGTCAGTTTCCTGACAATTTTCAAGTTAACAAAAAGACACAAGATTTCTATCTGTAAAACGAACCACTTTGCCAGAGCTAAAGGAATGCATAGTATAAACAAACCAGGTGATAAGGAGAACGGGGGTTGGATAGACTGTCTAAAATGCTAATGGAATAGATCAATTCTAAACCCAGACATTTGTGACAGAGAAGATTAAATAATAACATTTTACTGTCTATATGTATAAGGTACCATTGTAAGTTTAAGGTGAAACATAGTTCATGATCTGCCATATCAGAAATTATAGCAGGAATCGCGGACACTAAGTCTGGACAAAACTTAAAGAAACTGTTTGATCTGACAGAAAAACTTTTAAGTTATGGCACTATAAAGATAGGCCAAAATGACGTCAAAATAGCCACCAGGAAAAGTTAACTCTTTCCTGGATAGGTATGTTTAGTGGGACAAGACTGCCCTCTATAGACCAAATACCTAAATTGCGATCTGGAAGATAACCACACCTCTAGTGCTTCTATTGGGTTATCAACTGATGACGTACAGAGAGTCTGGCCCTTTAAAAGTTAGGACAAAGGGAAGATAGGATATGCAAAGGAAAAAGAGGAGAGAGGAATTGGAAGTTTGGGACTCCAACCTCCATTAAGAGAAACCCAGGATAACATCTGAGACTAACACTCTACTCTTAAAACTCTAACACTTAGAATTTTACTGACTTTCTAACCAACACCACCTTTCACCATAACTCATGCACCTACAGACATCCAAATAAGTTCCTGAGACTATCTACCAATCGGATGAAATATCTACTCAACGGGTAATTATACTGGTTTCATTGAATTAATTATATTAATTAAATTTACTAATCCCATGATATATGACTGGATAAAGCACGGTCAGATTTCCATATTTAGAAATCTTAGTTAACTAAAGAATATATAGTTATAAACATTCCATTCTGCAGGTGGAATTAAGAATAATTATATATTAATGTGATTTTATCACGTGTTAGCATACCGCTGTTTTTATCCAGGTGTATTGATTTGCTCTAATTTAAGATAAGATATCTTTTAGACAAATTAAAATTCTGCTTTTGTAAAAATCATAGTAGATTCTCTTATTGGATGGTTCCAGGAAATGACTAATGAACTGGTTTAAATGTATTTTATTTAAAATTACATAAGAATAGATCTTAACTACCTAGGAGATCTAGCCAGCATTGAAAGGGTTATTCTAACTGTCAGCTAAACTTTACGACCTTACGCTGCACTCTGAAGAATTCTGTTCTCTGAGTGAAACTTTTTCTCTCTGTGAAAGATACCTCATAAATCGTGTAAGACTTGACAGAAAATGCTGTTTAGCCATTGAAACGTGTATAGCCATTCCTTTGTATTGCATACCATTTTATACTGGAAATTCATTGATTATTGTCACGCATGTTACATAATATTATTTGTTAATTATTGGTTATTATAAATAAATCTATTTTTATAACAAAATTGTGATATTATTTATATGAAATACTTCTCACTTAACACGATAAACATTCTTTGGGATCTGAGAATTGAATTAGTGGGCAATTCTCACTGTTACTATTATTATCCCATAAATTTTCCCACAACATATACACACATATATACACATACACACATATACACATATACACACACACACACCTCTATTATTAACTGAGGACCAAGAGACAATTGCTATTTACAAGTCCTTAGATGCAGGTGCTAATATTTGGTATATTATACCTAAATACTTATTCAGTTAGCCCTCCCAATTAAAGCTACCACTTATGCAATATTTTTTATACTAGTTGTCATACAAAGTAGCTGAACACACATGGTGAGGACGTTTTTTGCTACACGTTGCCTTGGTGATCGCTTTTGTTATATCGTGTTACCATGGCAATGGCGTCAGCGTCACATGGTGACGTCACGCAAATAGGCGGAGTTTATGACACGCATGCGCACTCTATCGGGAAGAACGCCGGTTTCCTCACGAGCAGCACCTGGGGTGAGTTAACTCCCTATCAATACAATTATTGCATCCTTTATATATGATATGTTTTTTAATGTACTAATGATCCTGATGAAAGTCCACAAGATGGACTGAAACGTTGATCTGTTTTAAAAGAAACTGGAATAAAAAGAAATTTTTATTGAAAATCCGTGAGTGCAGCCACATTACCTGATTATATATATATATTTGAAGGCTTGGCCTGGAGTTGTGGGAGGGGCTTGGTTCACCTTTAAAAGGGCTGCCAATCCACTCCCACCTTACTGTTGCTGGTCTGGCAAGTCTGAAACGTTACTTCCGGTTCAGACCGCCATCTTGGATTTTTTCCTTACCTGTTTCCCTCGTGGTCTCCTGGTCCGGACTCCCCTGCCTCTCCTTACCTCCGCCGGCGTCCCCACAGCTCGCTCGGTGCGTCCTCTTGGGAAAAAAACGTAAGTCAGGCCCGCCGTAAAGCAACCACTGCAATCCCTCTGCTTTGCATGGCGGCGCCCCGTTCGGTTCAAATCTACGTTCAGTTGTTCTAACATATCACCATTACATTCGTCTAAATGCTTTCACTCTGCTATTCGCGTGTTTCACAAGTTCAAACAAGCGAACGATAACATTCGGTTAAATTATACTTAAACATCATTCGGTGGTTTCTCAAGTTAATTATGGTGTATGTATTTGGTTGTTACTATACTCTACATAGCTCGTTCGGCAGCTACACTAATTCACGTATTAAACTCGAATTCAGCCAGTACTACAAGGGAATTTCGCCCCTACTGGTTACAAATGTTACTGCAGTAAATCTATGCTGAATAAGAATATTGTAAAACAAGTTGATGGGTCCTGATTTTCTGAATCTGTTTTTCCCCACAGAGTCATCCCAGTGGTTCATTCTGGGAATTGTGAAATCTGTCAGTGGTATCAATATTCTTATAGGTTGGTTATTGTTTAATTTTGGGTTATGAAGGCTAATGATACACATTACAGTAGTTAAGTACAAGCCCGGACTGGCCATCGGGCATACCGGGCAAATGCCCGGTGGGCCGCGATGGCCATGGGGCCAGGCCGGCAGGAGAGATCACAGAATCTCCCCGGCCGGCCCCTGCAGGGCCAGCGCTACCCGAGCGCCGGCCCCGCTGTGTGCCTCCATGGGCCGGTGGGGAGATCAAAGATCTCCCTCATCGGCCCACAGACAGGGAGATGCGGCCGCCAGCTGGGTGAGGGAGGGAGGAAAGAGGACCGGCGGAGCTCTAACAAGCAGCTCCGCCGGTCCTCTCGCGGGATTCTGAGCGTTGCCGCGGCAACGCTCAGATCTCGCGAGAGTGAACTCTAACCTGCAGGTTAGAGTTCACTCTCACCACTCGACCACCAGGGAAGGCAGCATGGCTCCCCACCCCTCCCCAGGCAGAACGGAATCTCCTCCTCCCCCCTCCCAGGATAAAGGTAAGAAGGGGGGGGATATAATTTTTTTTTATTAGTAAAAAAAATATATTTAAATAAAAATACATTCACTCACACACACAGCCTCCAGACACAGCACCCCCCAGACACACAGCACCCCCCAGACACACACAGCACCCCCAGACACAGCACCCCTCAGACACACACAGCACCCCCAGACACAGCACCCCCCAGACACACACAGCACCCCCAGAAACAGCCCCCAGACACACACAGCACCCCCCAGACACACACACAGCACCCCCAGACACACACTGCACCCCCAGACACAGCCCCTAGACACACACACAGCACCCCCCAGACACAGCACCCCCAGACACACACAGCCTCTAGACATACAACACACTGCCCCCAGACACAGCACCCCCAGACACAGCCCCCAGACACACACACTGCAACCCAGACACACACTGCACCCCCAGACACAGCCCCCCAGACACACACACAGCACCCCCAGACACAGCACCCCAGACACACACAGCGCACCCAGACACACACAGCACCCCCAGACACACACACACAACCCCCAGACACACACTGCACCCTCAGACACACACTGCACCCTCAGACACACACAGCACCCCCAGACACACACAGCACCCAGACACACACAGCACCCAGACACACACTGCACCCAGACACACACACAGTACCCCCAGACACACAGAGCACCCCCAGACTCACACAGCACCCAGACTCACACAGCACCCCAGACACACACACAGCACCCCCAGACACACAGCACCCAGACTCACACAGCACCCCAGACACACACAGCACCCCAGACACACACACAGAACCCCCCAGACACACACAGCACCCCCAGACACAGCCCCCAGACACCGCACCACCCAGACACACACTGCACCCAGACACACACTGCACCCCCAGACACACACAGCACACAGAATGTGACAGCAGATAAAAACACCCTCACACACAGCACCCCTCTTACATACACACACTGCGCCCTTCACACATACAATAAGTCCAAATATATATAAATATATACATACACACACACACACACACTACAGCACCCCTCACACTGCACCACTACACACATTACGCTCCAGATACACACTAGATCCCTTACCCTATATGCACTCTTAATCCTCTACACACACACACACACACACACACAAACTGGGTCATTTGCACAGTAGATCTCCTACACACACACATTCCTTGTCAGCTTCCTTGTCAGCAAACACATACAACATTCTCTAAACACACTCTCTCTGCAATCCCTACACACACTACGTCACCTATACACACACACTTCAGCCTGTATGCACACACTCGCTGCATCCCCTATAAAACTATGCCCCCTATACACACACTCTCTACAGCCCCTAGCCACACATATTACACCACAAACACAAATTATATTGACCTATTTATACAATACCACACCACACTCTACACACACGCAATCCCACAAGCAGGCTCCAAACATATGCACCATGCACTTTCCTGGCCCTTTTGTCCTCTGGTATCCCACTTGTGGAGACACCAGAGACAATTTAAAAGCAAACACAGCGCAAGCATGTTATTAAATTTGCTTGCGCTGCGCAGAACAAATTCAGGGCCTTTTTCTAATGCCAGAGCTCTTCAGCAGGGCTCTGGGCATTGAACCAACATGCTCACTTTGAGAGGGGGCGTGTTGTCATTAGTGATGACAAAACACACACTCTCTGGCCCCGCCCCCTTCTTAGGGGGCCGCTCTGATTGAAAAATGCCCGGGCCTAATTTTTTTCCCAGTCCGGCCCTGCACTGGACCTAGCATGTAAAACTGGGGAGAAGTGGTGTACATAGTTTCCCTAACGATTGAGGTTTATTTTTTTAAACAAATTTGGACCCTTAATAATTTGGTCTTCGGGAGTAATATAAGAGGGAACAGTTAGAGACTCCTGTGCGGTATATGAAATGCGATACCTGTTCATTCATGGTGTGTGAAATGAGGAAGGCAAATAATTAGGCCTTCCATGCTACAATTTTTGTCTCTGGCAGAAACTGAACTGATCCTTCTTACAGAGTATAGGTCAAAAGCCAAAACCTAGCTGAAGTTAAGATAACAAAAACTAACAAAAGCAAGAAATAACCTTAGGTCAGCAGTACATTAACCAAGGGCCATAACAATGGAAGCACCCACATTCTGATATTCTGACATTCCATAAAAACACTGACATTTATGGAATAAGGGGACAATATGGTTATCTATTGAACAAAGATTTTTTTTCAATGTGCACTTTTTCTCCATCATTAAAAATTGGGAACTCTTCACTGGCATGATAATATTCCTGTTGGATAAGGTCAATTTATTTCTTAAGAATGTTATTCTCTTCAGTCAAGAGACTTATGAGGGTCATAGAACTTTGGTCCAGAGCTGTATACTACTTAGAATGTGTTATATCCTAAAGCTGTCAGTGGTTTGATCATTTTTAAGCCTATGGGAATACTTTGAACATCTCAATATTTTTAACCTGGTAATTTCCACCATTCTCTGGTTTCTTGTAAAGTCAATTCAATTTCTATAATTTCTTTGAAACATAATATATTGACATCTAAAAAAATTATGAAAGGTGCTTGTGGTCTGTCCTTTCTCCTCATTTTGTGTACCTCAATTGTTCCTCAACTAGCTTGTTCCAGTCTTCATTTTGAATGCGGGGTTTAGAAAGGTAGACAAATAGCTATATTGACAATAATCAAATTTTAAATTAATTGTTGTGACTCTGCGATAAATTATAATCCACGTAACCAGGGCAGATACTCTCCAATCCACTGCAGTTCTGCAATAATAGCAAGTAATGCTTAATGCACCTGAAACAATTTAAATTGATAAAAATTTTATAGTTGTTAAATCTGCCTATTTGACTTGTAACACTCCAATGTCTACAAAATTGTGGATTCCCTTAAAGTGGCACTGTCATGCTGAACTTACCTTTCCCCAATCGATTCCTATTCTCTCCCTCTGTCAGGATCTGTTCTTCATTTCTTCTTGTCTGCTCTAATTGTCTTTAAAACATAAGACAAAGTAGGGACTATTTGTCTTAGGGAGGTTTCCTACGTCTGATCATTTCTGACCAGCAGAGGAGCAAAGTGTGCTTAATTTCCGGCGGTCAGAGAATTTTTCCCACAATTCTTAGCTTTCCTCCCTGTTCCCGCGATGCTTCCTATTTCTTTTCCTGAATGTCCTGTCACTTAGACAGGACTCCGGTAAAACTACTGAATTGCGTCCTAACAGAATGAGAACAGTTTGTTCATGTTAGGACTCAATTCTGGATTTTTTTCGTATGAGAATGAATGAAACTCTGATCCTATTCGTGCGGCATATGGCAGCCATTTAGTAGATAACTTCCTAATTCCCACGGTATTAGGAAGCTATCTACCAAAAGGCTGAAAGACCTAAATAGTTTTTTCAGTCAAATTTACTAATACTAAGTAAAGATTACTTAGTATTAGTAAATTCTGCCCCTACTCACTATACCGCGCCTGTGGCTGCTCACTGTTAAAAAAGAAAAAACCCTCCGAGCCCCCACCCGTGCAAGTGGGGGCTGTTAAACTGAAGGGGGGACCTAGAGCCCCCCCAGTCCCCACCCCCGAGCGGCGGGTGGGGGCCCTAAATGAGAATGTCCTCCCCCCCAGTCCCCACCCCTGAGCAGCGGGTGGGGGCCCTAAAGGAGAATGAGGGGGGGAGACCTATTGTCCTCCCCTCAGCCCCCCTCCACTGAGCGGCGGGTGGGGGCCATAAAAACAATGGAGGGGGGACCTATTGTGTGTCCCCCGGCCACCACCCCTGAGTGGCGGGTGGGGGCCATAAAATAAAAACAATGGGGGGGACCTATTGTCCCCTTCAGGCCCCAAACTCTGAGCGGTGGGTGGGGGCCATAAAAACAATGAGGGGGAGGGGACCTATTGTCTACCCCCCGGCCCCCACCTGCCGCTCATAAAAACAATGAGGAGGGGTCTATTGTCCTCCCCCAGCCCCCACCCCTGAGCGGCAGGTGGGGGCCATAAAGGTGAAGGTGGGGGGACCTATGGTCCTCCCACCCTGGCCCCCACCGATGAGCGGCAGGTGGGTGCCATAAAAATAATGAGGGGGGACCTAATGTTTTCCCTCCGCTGAGCAGCGTGTGGGAGCCCTAAAGTAGAATGAGGGGGGGGACCTATTGTCCTCTCCCTGGCCCCCACCCCTGAGCGGTGGGTGGGGGCCATAAATAACAATAAGGGAGGGACCTATTGTCACCCCCTGCTCCCACCCATGAGCGGCAGGTGAGGGCCATAAAAACAATAAGGGGCGGGTGGGGGCCCTAAAGGAGAATGTGGGGGGGACCTATTGTCCTCCCCCTCCAGCCCCCACCCTGAGCAGCGGTGGGGGGGAACAATAGGCCCCCCCTTATTGTTATTTATGGTCCCTGCCCGCTGCTAAGGGGTGGGGGCTGGGGGGTGGGCAATAGGTCCCCCTTCATTGTTTTTATGGCCCCCACCTGCCACTCAGGGGTGGAGGCCGGGGGGGGACAATAGGTCCCCCCTTGTTGTTATTTATGGCCCCCCACCCACCGCTGCATGGGTGGAGGCTCTGGAGGGGGGTACTAGGGTTTTGATTTTTTAACAGTGAGAGCCACAGGCTCTAGCATCTCCCTTATGCTATTATGGGGGTCATATTTACCCTGATGTGAGGGAGGACACGGGGGTCATAAGAAGTGGCGGGGAGCACTGCTCCTTGCCGCTTCTATTTTTACATTT